GATAATAATAATAATAATAATAATAATAATAATAATAATAATGATTCGCCTGTTATTCTTACATCAGTTCGCCTCAAATAACAGAAGTATTTATTTCACGCTTACTTCACATTTAAAGACCCTGCTGTTCTTGTAATTCTCATTGTGTGTCTTATCATTGTCACGCAAGGAGATCTCCTGTACCCTTATGACGAGCTGCTACTGCTTTATGAATCCCTTACTCTGGCAGTCTGTAAATGGCACGGCGGATCCTTTCACTGGCGAAGAAGAGCTATTAAATTCTTTCTAGTTTTTTTTTATCAGCAGTGAGATAGGAACCAATGACCATGGCACTTACATGCAATGCAAATTACGACGCTCATATACAGTTTCCTAGTTACAGACACAGATGCAAATTATTCTTTAATGTGTTAAATTTGCTTTCATGTGGTTTCATTGTTTCTTCGGTTTTATGGCTCTTCGTTTTTTTTACAAAGTTCATTAAAACAAAGAAATGGGCAGGAATGACCCAGTAATGACAAATTAAAACTGTGTTCTTTACATTCCTATTTTCAAAATCTGTCCTGGATACTAAAGAATTTCACAGCAGAACGTAATAGAGCATCCAATCCTACATTATTAATTGCAATCATTCCTATTTTCGGCCTTTGTTCTTCTCGAAATGCAGATGGTATAACACCAAACGAACCATTCTTCCTTTGCATCATACATCCTGGTAGTTTTCTCTACGATATACACAAGTAGGATCCGTTTTGTGCAGACTACCCTATTTCAGTGTCAAACTCAGCGTCACGTTGGGCACGTCGTTGGCTAGGAAACCGGGCTGTTGCTGCGTGACCGTAAGGAAAGAGAGACAGTGCGACCTTGATAATGCAAAGTAATTGAAACACTGATTTGTTCGGGCTATGAAATCGCTCGGATTACTGGATTTCAGAGGAATAATGTACTTTTAGAACATTTGTTTATGTAAGAGATTTATAAGTACGTTCTGTACTCAAAGAGCGGCCGAAATCTGTAGACGTTCGACTACACGTTAGGCTTGGGGCAAGCGGTAACCGTGTTACACTCTTCATCCTCCAGAGATGGAAGTACGTTAACGCGTCATATTATGTTCCCTAATAATGAACTATTATTGAAAGGAAGTAAAATAATTAAAGTATATTTGTAATTTCTGGAGATATCGATTTTTCTTCCTTTTTGGGGGGATGGGGTTACCTGAGTTCCACTGTATTACCATCAAAGCCATGTAGGTTTCAAATTTAGTTGAAACCTTGATTGAAATTACCGTATTTACGCATGTATAGGCCGCGTGCGTGTATAGGCCGCAGTACAATTTTCAGACAGAAATTATAGAAAAAATAATTTTCTTGGAATATTATTTCAGGAGTAGAACACCCTGTATTACTAATTATGAATATATTTTTTTTTAAATGAAGTGTGATTTCGAATATTTCGAATATAAGCCGCACCCCAGTTTTCCTCTTGAATTTTTGGCAAAAAATGTGCGGCCTATACATGCGTAAATACGGTATTTGTCATCCCGTAATAAGGCCTATAGCTTAAGAAGACTCCGACTTCCCGATAAAAAATGTCCCAAAACTTTGAACCCAACACCTTCTCAGTGACAGAGACTGTAAAGTGGACAATTTACTGAAGGCTGTTAAGTTGACCATTGAAATTACACCACATTTCCGTAGTCATTCTTTTTCTGGGGACAAGCCAAGCTTCCATTCCCCGTAAGGTCGTTTCAGTCAAGGACTTGGTAATTAAGACCACAGGACTCCTTGGTTGAATACAATGCAGGAAGTAAAAACCAATTCAATCGCAGTTTCATAGCTACGCTGTAATTCGCTTGTAATCGCTACGTCAAACAGCAAAGCTTAAAATTACTCGTGTATTTACTTAAAATACGCGTGTGCGAATTGCGTGTCATTTGAAGGTGATAAGAACGTAGCTTTAGGCGGGCTTCTAGGAGCCGCTGGAGCACCTTCCGCAGGTTGAGCAAGTGTCTTGGAAACGTGCTGCCAGTCACGATGACTTGTAAGTGTCTTCATTAACCTCTCAAATGTCGCCGGAGCTTTGGAGAGGCCATAATGCGTGACCATGAACTGCCATAGCCCTTGAACCGTTCAGCATGCAGTCTTCTCCTTGTCGTCCGGGTGTAGAGCCACCTGCCATTACCTCATTTTCAGGTCCAGAGTGGAGAACCATTTAGATCCAGCCAGCGTGTCCAGAGTATCGTCAGTCTGGGGCAGTGGGAAACAGTCCTTCCTTGTGACATCATTTAGTTTCCTGTAGTCCACACAGAAGCGCAGGCCCCCGTTCTTCTGGACAAGAATGTCAGGGGATGACCAGGGGCTTTCTGACCCTTCGATGACTTCACGGTATTGCATGTCGTTGAGGAGCACCTCACCTACCTCTCCCTGTTTTGCTAGGGGCAGCCTCCTCTGGGGTTGGTGAATCGATTGGGTGTCTCCTGTATCAGTACTGTGGTATAGAAAGCCCATAAGATGAAGCTCGTGCCGAATTGCTCTAACCAACATGTTATTGCCCTTTATGTGCCAGCCCTTGCTGCCAAACCACTTTTGGAATTATTCACGTTACTTCTAAGCTACTACCGTTTGTGTAATGTCAATACACTTGTCTTGTATTCAATGGTATCAGGTTTGAATATCAGTGGACCACAAACTATAATGACTGAGGTATGCGTTTCCTTGAGCTTTCTTACAACTACTGGGATAATTCATTGAAACAGGCTATGATTGTACCTGTACACCGACACAGAAAAACGCGCGCGCACACACACACACACACACACACACACACACACACACACACACACTAAACAGCCATGCCCTGAGTGGGTTTCGAACCCATGATCCTGGTTTCCAAGCGAGCGAAGACATTACATGCCTTAGACCACTTGGCTACCATGACCGACAAGAGTACCATGTAGCGTAACATATATGAGGTAAGTTATTTATAATGATACAACCACAAGGCAGTGCATGGAACACAGAGACTGAACACAGCAAAAGCAACAGAAGTACACACTACTGACAGTCATATGTAATGTCTGTAAATGCTATGATAGAAATAACAATGACACACAAGTAGGAAGTACAACTGACATACCTCACATAATTTTATAATATTAGACAAAATGTTACAAATCATATTTCTAAAGCAATTTTAAGGCAATTCCTTTAATGTATGGCTTCTGGATATGACTCATTTCATTTATTCATGGTATTCATGATATGTATGATATTCTCCTTGACCATTGCGAGATGTAAATTACTATAACTTTTTGTTTTATGTTTTGAGTCAGTATTGTTGGCTTGGTTACTGATGCAGCTGATTGGTCCCGATTTTTGATTAATATTTCTCTTAACTAAATCAGTCACAAAATTGATTAATGTCATCTCTTTTTTACAGAAAACCTCATGAATTTGGCCTTCTCACTAATGGGCATGTGCGTTCGAACTTTTTCACGCAACATCCTTGTAAACAAACAGAGTTTGACAAAATCTACCTATACAGTAAACCTCAGAAACAAGGTAACAATATGTATGCTAGTAGCCTAGCTTCTGCTCTCTCTTAATTCAGTACGTGCATCACATTTTACAGATTCTACTGTATGCAGCAGTAAGAAACTGGCCTGTATTACATGCAGTTCAGATTTTAGTCAGAAGGAAGCTCAATCTGTGATTTATTAAGATCATGACCTTCTGCATTTCCAGCCTTACAGAATGGACTCACAGTGTCTTGTAACACACATAGATTTATTCAGTGTACTAACTGTAATTGTATGCAAGTTCTTTAGTTTGTAGATAATAATGGTTGGGTAAGCTGTAATGAACCAGAACATGCCACTATGACCACTGTAGGAACAAAATGCAAAATGCAGATGACTATGTGCTGTCTTTATGATTATGATAATCGTTGTGAAATCTTTCATTTTATATTATTTTTCCAATACTGGTCAGTTTGTGGAAGTTAATGCATGGAAATGAATGGTCTATGCTAAACACTTTGCACAAACTTTTGCATAGTTGTGAGAAGAGAGGTCTACATAGCAATACATACTGTCTAGGACTACACTCTGTAAATAAGTAAAATGTAATCAGATTTATCAAAAAACATACCCCTTCATGTATATTTCCCTTAACTTTAAAATGTAGAGGTTTGTAGGCCTAGGCATCGGGATTGGGCGTTAACATTTAGGAGTACCAAATAGGACAATTATTCAGAGTGATCAAATGTTCAAAATTGTATGCAGACCTACAGAGAGTATTCTGAAATGAGTATTCTGACTAGGAGACATCTAAAATATATGCCTGCATTAGAAACCTCAAAATTATTTTTTCCCCATAATTCTCCTTATGCATATAAGGAGTAGGGATGGCTCATTTGGTATAGTAATGGGCTGCAGGCTGGATGGCCAGGGTTCGAATCCTGGCAGCCGCAAGATTTTTGTCTTCTCCACAACATCCAGATCAGCTCTGGGGCTCACATAGCCACCTATTTGGTTGGTACTGTGGGGGATTTCCTTGGGAGTAAATTGACCAGGTTGTGAAGCTCACCACTCACCTCCATCTAGTGCTGAGGTCAAGGATGTTGGATCTATACCACCACTCCCCCATATGTTTTCATGGCTTAATTAATTAAGCACAAGGTCAACTTTGCCTAACCTTACCTATGCACAAAAGTGTGTTTGCATGTCAGAAACAGAAGGGTATCAAGATAGATGGTCTGATTATGTAAGGTCTCTGTAATCTGTCCTCATTTATTTTAAATATATTCTGATAAAATAGTAGATTAATTTGTGCCTAAATTGTATACTTGCCTGAAAGAGAGTCCAAAGCAGGACAGACTTTTTTCTGTACATCTATTAGGCACTTCACTCACTTCTAACATTATCTGCAGATTCTCATCTTTACTGTGGTTTCTGCCATCACCACTGGATAATTGAGCATTAATTGTACTGGATGTTGTATTTGTTACTTCAAAATGCATGCTCGGGTTATAGGACTCATTGCCTAGGTTTAAAATTCCAATGCATTCTCCCACTTTTGGTAGAAGTAACATTATGTTCACTCATGAACTTTGAATATTAATGTAATTTATTCTCAAAATATCTTTGTTGTAATAAACCTGAAATATGTCTGACGTCAACTTCAAAATAGCTGTTGAAGAACTGGAAATTGGATCAGCATATCTCTTACAAGATATATTCAGTAATTTATCAACCTGATTGGGAACTGAAAACTTACCTCAATTTTATTTTCCAGTATAGTCCCTTTCCAATGTAAAACAGTTGCTCCACTTCAGTCCTAAGAATTGATTCACTCACAATTGAAGTCAACTTGTTGAGCTTCTGACAAAGTAGAAATGGCTTCTTTCATTTCATGACTCTTGTAAAAGTAGCTTTCATTCTAATGGTTTCTCACCCTGAGAGACTTGAGAGTGTGCTGAGAAGAATACTTAATTGAGAGGGGAGAAAAGACAATAGAATGGAAAAAAAACTACATAGTGAGGAGCTTCAATATTTTGTACTGTTCACCAAATGTTACTGAGGTGATCAGCTCAAGTAGGAGTAGGTGGGTGGTGTTGTGTAGCACTCATGAAAAATGTATAAGAAATTCTTACCCAGTTTTAGTCAGAAAACTTAAAGAAAAGAGACAACTTGGGGGAACTAGGACTAGCTAACTCAGGATAATATTAAAATGGATTTTAAACAAGCAGATTTTAGGGGCTGCAGAATGGATTCATGTGGCTGAGGTTAAGTATAAGTGACAGGCTCTTGTGAACACATTATCTGAAATAAACCTGTAGAGTTCTGTAGAGATATTGAATTGGTCGACTTTCTGAATGAATATTAATTTTGCTAGAAGGACCCTCTTACATGGAGTTAGAAGATTACTTAGTGAGCTAGTTAATTTTAGTCAAATATCTCATTATGGCAGTAAATCAATCTTTATCTCAAAATCTATATGTATTCAAATTCAAGGATTTAAAAAAATGAACCCGCTATATATTAACTGCATAAAACACTCTACGAATTATTTCATTTCCGTTTTGTACTCATTATGGGGATGCATGATGCTGTTATTGTTATTGGTTATCTGCATGTTTTCCTAGTACCTTGCTTATAGGCTTATAATTACTATGTGTCTTATACATGTCGCTTACTAATAGATACAGACATTAATATCAGACTTTTCATACACATAGTAGGATTTCAGAAATTGAAGTTGAAGTACATATTGTGACCTATCAATACTCCAGAAATGAGATATTCTTTGATTTATCAACAGTTATTTTGGGGAGCAGTTTCCATTTTTCATCAAAGTAGCCTTATTTCCAGCTTTTCTGGCTTGTGTGGTTTGGCATTGGGATTACTGAAATCATCTTTCTGCCTGGATCTCAAGTAAATTGAACTCTGAGTGGTGTGTGTGCGTGTGTGTGTGTGTGTTTTACTGGAGCTGTCAGACTGCTTTACTGCTTCTGTTCACAGCTCTAAGGAAACGCATTGTGAAGTCAGGACATTGTCAGCCAGGAAGGACAGTATTATCTCTCTTTCCTGCCCTTAATTGGTTGCCAAAATATGAGTGGAAGGAAAACATTATGAGTGATATAGTGGCAGGTTTTACAGTGGCCATCATGCATATACCACAAGGTAAGAGTGCTTCTTAAGTGTGTAATTCTGAATCTTATAAGAAATGATAAAAGTGGCCTGTGTAATGAAATAGTGCTGCCTACATTCCATAAATGCATTTGTCTATAAACAACTTCTGTCCTGACTCTATTATTCTTTATACTTACTACAATTAAAGGCTATTCCTGCAAAGTAGTTCCCTTGCAACCTGATGCAGTGAGTACAGGGCTTCTCCCAATACTGGATATATCTATGGATATATATCCTGACTGTGAATCCATGAGTTTAATCTGTGATTTATGTATGACTGTAATGATGTAATCTGCCCTTAAGTACTGACTTAAAGTATTGGAAAAATAAAAGAGTGGGGTATCAGTCCTCACTCTATCTGCTCGCAACCCCCATCCAACATAATTTTCCAAACACATATACACAGCAAATCACAAACCCACACATTTTGACTTTGAGCATAGTGAGAGTATGAACCTCTGAAACATCAGAAACATTGCCCCCACCCACACAGTGTAAGAACCTGAGAATGTAATCCACAGCAACAGAGGTACTGTACAAATGATACTGATGGAAAATTTGGGGATGAAGAAAACTTGTGTGAAGATGATGTCCAAGAACCACACTAACAACCGACTGAAGCTGGGAAAGGAATTTATGCTGAACTGCAATGGATTGAGAAGAATAAAAAATGACTGAACAAAGTCATCACTGCAGGTGAAAGTTGTGTTTCTGGTATGAGCCTGAAACAAAGCAGCTGAGCATGCAATGGAAGCTTTAGACTCACCGCCACATCGAGAAATCTTGGATGTCAAAGTCAAAAGCCAAGACAATGTTGATTCATTTCTGTGACTGCAAAGGGATAGTGTGTGAAGAGTTTTTTTCCACTTAACCAGAAGATTTATCTCCAAATTTTGGAATATCTGAAATGGTGGGTTCTCTGTGTGAGGCCAGAATTGTTCCCTGACAAGTGGTTCCTGCACCATGAGACCTCCCCCCCCCACCACCACCACCACCACCACAAACACACAAACAAACATGCAGGGTGTTCTTCATTGGGGGGTTTTGGTGAAAAATCCATTTTGGCCCAGGAACACCTGGCTTACTCGCCAGATCTTGCTCTATGTGACTTCTTCCTCTTCCCTACCATGAAGAATCATTTGAAGAGACCACATTTTGAAACAAGGGAAGAGATTCAGAAGGTGATGATGGCCGTTCTAAACAGCTTACAGGAGAATGACTGCTGGAAGTGCTACAACTGCTGGAAATAACATTGGAATCCTTGTACAGCTGCAGAAGGGAACTGCTTTGTAGGAGACCACTGCAGTTCAGAGTAACATTAATGCAGTGCTGCCTGTAAGTACAGTCTCACTATTTGTCAGACCTCATAAATAACCAAAGAAATAAACTTATGAGTAACTTGTGCCAGTGTTTCTTTACTTTCATAGACTAAAAGTATTTTAAAGAACATAGGTAAGCCACTGTTAAGGAAATACATTTCTGGGTTACCAATATTGAGCCATTGGTTTCTTAATGTGTAATAGGAAACTGAAAAGCCAGTATATCTTTTCAGATATCGAAATGAATAAGGCATTCATTACAGGCGGAGAGTACATTTAAAGAAGTTATTATATTGCATGTTACAATTCTGCCATAAATACAGTTTCTCCTGATCATGTACAAGAGAGTGATGTAATGGTACTAACTAAACCAAATACATATCTTTGAGTTATTTCCATGTATAAAACACTGATTTTTATAGCGTACATTTTTCAGCTTAAGTGATGAATAAAATATTTTCTTTTTCTTTAGTTTAACAATAATCACTTAATATTATTATATGGCCAAATTAATTTCTATATTAACCAAAGTTTTATGGATCCTTCACTATATGAGCCCTGATTCTAATGATCTGGCATTAAAATTCGATGATTCAGCACTTCCAAAATTAAGTCTTAACACCATGTTCAGCTCAATGTAATGAAATTCATATCATCAAAATCATTTTTCTTAAGATCTGTAAAAAAATTGTCTGTTTCTATCAACTTTGGTCTCTCAAGTGTAGCTGCCTTCAAGAGAGTTCTCCAATTAAATTATGTGTTTGTTTTCTCCTGCATATCCAGCCCATTGAAATTGTTGTCAATTTTGTATATTATTTATTTTAACTGCAAATGGGTTTTTACCTGGTGGCAGTGGTTTTACAATAAGACACAACACACAAAGTAACACACCATGCTCAAACAAAACACAGCACACAAAACTACACAAACAAGGACACACTACGCACAATAAATACAATGCCTTCCCTTCATTCCACTTCACGACACTTCTGTACCTGTCTCATCCTCACCACAATGACAATGTGCACATAACTAGGACATTACAAATCACAGAGCTCCTCATTGTGTAATTTTCCTCAGTTTCCTACTTCATTCATGTCTCTTTGGATCTAAGTATTCAGGGGGGGGGGATTTTATTTCATCTAATTCTAAGTTACATTATCACCTGAGAAGAATAAACACTGTTTAAAATCCAGCTGGCTAATCATTGATTTTCAGCTGTAGTTTAGAGTAAGTACCAAAGCAAGTGATGCAGTTTATCTGAATAAACTGTATAAAAAACCAAATTTGTTTCTCATATGCTTAATACTGGCAAGTAATAATATGGAACACACTTCTGACAGCATATAGAGCCTTTATCCTTTTTTATGTGCTTATGAATGCTTGGTCATGGATTTGAATGGAAAATACATATTAATATCAGATCTGTGGCGATATGAATTTATTTGACAAAATGTAAATGCCATAAAGAACAGAAATTCTACTCAGTGTTAGTACTGCAGTTGACATAGAAATAAACAAAGAGAAAACCGGGTTGGAGAGACTAGAGATTTAATTCATTGTCAGAACTTTGGTTTTGGCACTGTGAAACCTTTGGCCTCTGGTACCAGAGTTATTTAAAACATTTAATAATTTAAATTGAAAGTAAAATAATAACTTGGAGCATAATGTTAAAGTATAGAAATGAATCATGCATCTTTCATACACATGTGTTTGTATGTGCATACTTTTCTTTTTCTAGGAATGGCATATGCACTGCTTGGAGGAGTACCCCCTATTGTAGGTATATACATGGCCTTCTTTCCTGTTCTTCTCTATGTGCTCATGGGTACATCACGTCATGTCTCAATGGGTTGGTATGGCTATTTAAAATGCATTGAAGTTATGAAATTGCATGCAATAAGAAGTTCGTACTTTTAAGAATTATGCTGAATGGTTCCTTACTTTTTGAAGAATGTTGATTCTTCCATCAACCAACATGGCCAGAATGTACGAGTATATTGGCAAATATGGGAGACAGATGGCACTTGGTGAATACCATAAAAGAAAATGGCCAGAAATGCAGTTAATATTTGGCTGTATTGAAGCTTTCTTAACTCTTGAATTGAGGTTGTGTAATGTAATTTATCAGTGAGAAATGAATTTGATTGCTTTAATTGGCTTAGGAACTGCTCAGAGAAGCTTTGATTATTGTGATCATGACAAATCAAGATAGTGAATATCATACAACAAACACAGTGCACTCTACTAAATTTACAAATTTAGTAGAAACTTTTCTCGTACGTCTCCATTCATCACACAAAATAGAAAATTTTAATAAATTTATCTTGAAATGTTTCAAGCATAGCAAGTTGTTATTAGAAGTGTCCCATTTAAGGATGGAGAATGCTTTATATTGTGTTTTTAGGAAGAATACTAGAAGTCACGTGAGATGGAAAAAGTCATGGACACTTATGACAGTAACAAAATTGAACCAAAAAACTTTTCCAAGTATGCTTTTGTTTTTAGTTAAGAAACCAGGGCCTGGAGTTAGTTTTTTTATCAGTGGGCAAGTTAAAAGTTGTCATGAAAAGACATCAGACACATTGTGATCACTGTTTATTAGAGGATAAGAAAAAAAAATTATTCTGTTCACAGAATGCCAGACACCACATTTCTTTGCAGTAAGAATCACATAAATAACTTACATCTAATAGGATAATATTAGAATTCACTCTACATGTACATAGAAGTCACGGTCATGGTATTCATCCCATCTCAAAGGTTTCAGGTTTTGCAACTTATTCCAGTGATTGATAAAGCCAAAGTTATGATGTGGGCAGTTTAGGCTCACACAAAATGTATGCCTCATATTAAACTGCAGGTTCATACTGCCAATCATTGCTCTTTTCATCATCCTCCAATTAGACGTAACAGACTCAGCTCTGCAGGTGGTTCCACCACAGACTATTTTTTACTTCACAGGGCACAACAAGGAGGGGCAAGGAAGTAATTTGAAGCTGTATAAGAATCATTAGAAAAGTTCTGGGACACAGACTTGAACTGACAGGCATAGCTGACAGTTCAGGATGTGTGACTTCAAAGTAAAATTCCTTGCTATTAGACCCACAGCAGTTAACAGCTCACTGACTGCCTATTGTAGACAGTACAAGCAGGAATATTTCACAGCCCTACAAGCAACATGGAGCTTGAGAGAGAACACTTTCATGTGGCATATTTATAAAACTTCAAAAAAGGTCGAAGTGAGAGCCATTCTCTCACATTTCTGGTTTTTCAAGATATATGTCCTCCATTTTACTCAGTTTTATGGTAGTTTCAGAATTCAAGAGAGAAAGAAAATCTCTCAAGAGTAATGACAGGAATGAGAAACTGACCACAGGAGTGACCAGAGACACTGTGTTCAGATAGAACTCACATTTAATCATAGAGAGAAACTGAAGTGATATCAGACTTTAATTATAATTAATTAATTAATTTATTTATTTATGTGTATTTCCATAATCTTACACAAATGACCCTGTGTGAGGAAAGTTTGATATTGATGAGTCCCTCACAACCAGAGAGAAGCTTGAAAACAAACTTGAGGCTGTGGAATGCATTAAGAATGATGACTCTTGCCCAGTTTCTGTCACTGTTATGGTCAGTGAGACACGTGCTACTAATCTGAGCCTGAAACAAAATGTCATTTGCATCTGTGTCATCATCACTTCCCTCATGAAAGTGAAAATGCCAGGAGGTATTTTAAAGAAGACAATGGCAACATTTCTGTTTTTCAACAGATATTTATGTGGCTACCATTGCACTTGAATCACTGTGTATTATTATGGCACAGTGATACATGTCAGTTGGCTTAAGTTGTAGAGAAGATTGAAAAAAGGCAGGCAAGAACAGTAATGCAGATACATAATATTCAACATACAGTTGTGACTTGTCATCTTGACTTCTTGCTTCCATCATTCAGAGATTGCCTCCAAGGGCCGAATTTCTAAAGCCCTGAAGAGATCCTAAATGCATACAAATGGAACTTATGGCCATTCCATAAAACAAGTGGCACCTTTGCTTCCAGACTTGGTTCAGAAGGACAGAATATTGCACAGAATATGAGGCTTACTTTGAAAAGATATAATTGTTGAAATAAAAGTATCATTGTTAGATAACTAGTGTATAAAAATTCTGAATTATCTTCATTACAGGAGACATTTACCATAAGCACATTTCAACTTTTTATCTCAGAATTGAAATAATTTTTCTTAGAGTAGAAGCCTGATTAATTTAAATGCCCTTGAAATCCATAGTGCAATACTATGTTTTGCCATTTTGATTGTGGTTATAGAGTATTTAGGTATACTATATCATATTGTGTGGGGTCCATTCAGCCTCGTGAGGATAATTGAGCTATTTGAATGGAAAAATAGCACCTCCAGTATAGAAAACTGAGATTAACGGCTGTGGGAATCTGTTGTGCTTACCACGCACCACTCTCTATCCGCAAAAGTTGGCACTAACTTCGCCGACGAGCGGCGGTCGCTCGGTCGGTCGGTTGGTATAGTTTACTCGTACTTGCGGACTTAAGGCCATGGAGTTTGTTTCGTATATCATATTGTGTAGTGGAAACGGGTTAATGCATTTATTATATTTAGTGAATGACCTCCCTGTGAATGCCTGTGGTTCTGTATGGGTGTGAAACCTGGTCTCTGACATTAAGGGAGGAACACAGACTGAGGGTGTTTGAGAACAGGGTGTTGAGGAGAATATTTGGACCAAAGAGGGATGAAGTGACAGGAGGTTGGAGAGAACTGCATAATGAGGAGCTTCATAACTTGTACTCTTCTCCAAGTATAACTAGAATGATCAAGTCAAGGAGGATGAGGTTGACAGGGCATGTAGCACAAATTGGAGAGAAGAGGAATGCATATAGGATATTGGTGGGAAAGCCAAAATGAAAGAGACCACTGGGAAGACCAAGGCATAGGTGGGTGAACAATATTAAATGGATCTTAGAGAGATAGGATGGGATGGGATGGTATGTTATGGATTGGATTGATCTGACTCAGAATAGGGACAAGTGGAGGGCTCTTGTGAACATGGTAATGAACCTTCGGGTTCCATAAAATCCTGGGAAATTCTTGAGTAGCTGCAGAATTGGTGGCTCCTCAAGAAGGGCTCAGCTCCATGAGGAAATAAGTAAGTAAGTGAATGACATTTGACTCTAATGGAAGCCTTAGGCTCATTTTCCTTGTGTCACTTTCTACCTTTGATTGTAACTTATGTCTGTGCAGGTACATTTGCAGTAGTGTGTATGATGGCCAGCAAGTCTGTGCTCACATACTCTGTCAGTGAGCCACCTGTTTCAGTGTCACCATGCAAGAATCTCACTGAACTGAACAGCACAGATCTAGCAGTGATACTTGCCAGTAAAAACTCAACAGATTATACTCCGGTGCAAGTTGCAACAGCAGTGTGTTTTGTTGTTGGTGTATGGCAGGTTAGTAGTTAACCCAAAAGGAACCATTTATCCAAAATATTCACAGGAATAATAATTATAAATTTAGTATGAATGAAATTATTTTGCTCTGTAGTTACTAAAGTGAGACACACATGACAAATATGACAAGTACTCATTTCTTAAAATATTCAGTCCTGAAGGAAACTCGTTAGGTTAACCCTGAAGTCTGGCCACTTCAGCCAAAAAGGGATGGTTTTATATATCAATATTTTAATGGTTTTTTAACATGTTAGCTAAAATAATCCTTGTCAGTAGCTGAGTGATGTGGGAGTGATCTGTGAATAGTTACGTAAACTACAAAAACAGATGTTGAAGCCTGAACCACATAGAAATTCCTGACCTTAAATTTTCACCAGAGGAGTAGTAACGTTAGAAATTTCTGATCATGGATCTGAATGTTTCATAGAACCAGTGAAAGTAATAACAGTATAACATAAATTGTTGCTCTTGCCAAGGTGAACATAAATTGAACCAAATCCAGATAACTTTGTACACAGTTTGAACAAGACTAAAACATCTTTAATTAAAACTTATCCCTATATGTATGTTCATATTACTCTTACAAGATGCCTAGTGTACCTCAACTCGCTGAAATATATCCTTTCATGTGGTATGCATAGGTTCTGTTGGGAGTTTGCAGATTAGGGGTTCTGAGTGTGCTTCTATCTGACACATTGGTCAGTGGCTTCACAACAGGGGCAGCAGTACATGTCCTTACATCACAGGTCAAGAACTTGCTGGGTGTGAAGGTGCCACGGTACAGTGGCCCTCTGAAGGTTATTTATGTGAGTGTTGTTTCAGTTCATATGCATGGAATTTTATCACTTGTATATCAGTAACTGGACTGTGTGCAGTCATTTTACCAGTTTTTTCCATAGTTGTGAACTCTGACATAGAACATAAATTTCAACTGTTGAGAAACAAACTTAGAGAAATTATGATAGGCTTGATATGTAGTTCAAATGGGAGGCAGAAAATTCATACAGATTTCTGATTAGGAAATCTCATGGAATGCAGGTATGAAGAAGACTTGAGTAGAGTTAATGCTTGCTGAAATCCCTATTTATCCAAGCTAAGCAACATTGACTGTGACATTATGTAGGAAGGGTGGCCTGAATCTGCCCACCGCTCTGCAGTAGATCTCCTCTCAGACAAAGAGACCAAGCTTCATCATTCTCTGATGATGAAGGAAGCAACACTCTTGGGAATCAACGTTCATTCCATACTGATATGGCTGATCATCTAAGAAAACTTAATTTCATTTAGTCTCATGAATGTTCCAAATGTTATAAAGATATATTTATACAATTTGTGGCCCATGCTGAATTTTGGGGAAAATATTGTAAATGAATAAGAGACATTTAATCACAATTTCTGAAACTATTTAAGAAGATCATCAGTTTGTGTGTAAATCTTTATATATGAGCTTAAAATAAAAAAAATAATTTCCATATATAAGCTAAAGTTGTCCCTCTGCTAATTAACCAGTGTTCCATGGAGAAGTATGGGGGAGTTAATGTAGAGATCCATGTTTCTTGACTTTGGCACTAGTTTGAGGTGAGTGGTCAGCTTCACTACCCAGCTGCTTTATCCCCAGAGAAAGAGCCCCTGGTATCCATTGGATAGGAGGTTGGGTGGGCCTCAGAGCTGGTCTGGACAATGTGGAGAAGAGAAAATTCTCGACCTTACCGGGACTCAAACTCTGACCCTGCAAATTCTGTATAATTATGAATACTAGATATGAAAAAACTCAGAGTACGTTTGGGCACTGCATGACTACACAACCAGAAACCTGTAAGGACAGAAGTCATTTAAAAAACAGCTTTTTCAGACTACATACTAAAATGTACTAGTCTATTAACCAGTTAAGTGTATATATTCCATGTTTCTAGCTCTCCTACAGTGGGACATTAAAACCCCTGGGACATTTAGTTTTGTTACTGCAGCATTTAATGTTATAATTGTTGCTCCCTTTTTAACATTAATATCTCAACCATGTGTCATTATAAAACTATGAAGCGGATAGTCTCTGAAAGACCAATTATCAGAGTTTATATATCTATATCTTCATTTATGTAGCCATTACATTAAAGTTCATATATATTTTTTCAGAAAAATACTTTACTTTTGGCTCTATTCTCAAAAAGTACACCACTGTTGCCACTGACATGCATTTCTGTTCCCAATATGTGATCAGACAGATATGTTTGACCCATGCACATTTGCTATATGCAGTCCTGATCATCACCACAGAAGCTGACTGACAAAACTGTCTCCAGCCTAAACATACACTCACATGTTTGATTATTGTGACCCTGCCTTAATGTTTACTTGAAAAAACTTGCACCCAATACAGCTATCAAGCAATCAGCACCTTCCTGTCACATTCTGAAGTAACTAGAAGATCTAGCAAGCCCAACTTACAAATTTGCATTCCTGGCTGTCAGTACATTTACAGCAGTCTAGCTGGCACATGCATGATGTGTAGAGACGTCATACCCACTACGATACAGAGTACAGGATGACTCGTTAAGATGTCTTACCCACATAACTACTTAAAATCTCAAAATTGAATTCTTTAGGATCCCAATAATTTTTATATTTCTCTCAGACTGAATTCACGTTTATATTGATCAGGATATTATTTTTTTCCATTACATCATAGTATTAAGGTATCTGAATTTCCTTTTCCATGATCATGCATATATCTGTTTCCAAATACAGTCTCCTTTATGTTAATTAATTCCACAAATATGTTTCACAGCATAAAAGAAAGAAGAAAGGAAATATAAATTTAAATTAAAATATAAATAAATAGATAAATATAATATTGTTGATATTTACATATTTTTGCTTATAAATAAAGCATCATTTTCAAATAAGTTCTGTATTCCTAACTATTTTGGTTTGTATATGTGGATATGTTTTTCCTTGTTGCACAGCTGATAATGTTGACTTCCAGACAGTATGTGTTTCATGTGTGATACAATATTTATGATGATGTTAACAAGTTCAATACTGATAAAATTAGCAGGTCTGGGTTATCAAGGTCATTTTCAGACAGCTGCGTTACTAATTTTGTTGTTTTACGAAGCAGTTCTGTTTTTATTTCAGACATACATGGACGTCTTCCAGAATATTGGCCAATCTAATCCAGTGGCAATTGGCATCTCTGCAGTATCCATAAGTGTTTTGTGCTTATACAATGAAGTACTCAAAGTGAGTGTAAATAATAGTCCGTAATGCAAGAACCCCCAAATGTTTTATTTACTATGATGTCATATTCTTCCAGTCTTTGCAAGTTATCATATAATTATTTCTACTTTTTACGTGGAACTGGTTTAACATGTGTAAGATTTGAGGTTCTTATGACAGTGCTTATGCAGATCATTGTTTTCTGAGATGTGATGTTGCATGGCCTGGTAGACAGTTATCATCAATATGGAGGAACCTTTTGCCTCCATTTCAGGGGGAACAATACCAGGCTGCATGGCATTGCATTCCAGAAGACAATTACCTTCATACTCTAACATAGTTAATCTTCTTTTTTAGATGTATTTGCAAGCCCTACAGAGCAATTTCCATCATTTCTATCTTACCATCCACCCATCTTCCTGAATGCATAAAACGACTCAAAAACTACAAAGACAAAAATAACACCGTCTAATGTGACTATTTAAGTTTTATGATCTGAAGACTCATCACCCTTACATGTTTTGATCCCTATGGATCATCCTCAGAGGGCATCAATACTCCTTTTGGAAACTACTATTGCAATAGATGTTAATTATATACGTGGTGTGTTCAAAAAGTATCGAACCTTTGGTCGGCAGAAATACATTTATTGATTTGGAGGTACAAAACCCTAATCCCCTTCAAAGTAGTCTCCTTGGTAATGCACACACTTCTCCCGGCGCTTCCGCCATTGTTGGAAACACTTCTGGAACGTGTCTTTTGGAATGGTGATCAGCCGGGCCGTCGCATTCCGCATGATGTCTTCTCTTGACTGAAATCGGGTTCCTTTCAGCGGCATTTTCAGCTTGGGAAATAGCCAAAAGTCACACGGAGCCATGTCGGGGGAGTAGGGAGCCTCACAATCCACAGGGATGTTGTGTTTGGCGATGAAAGTCTGTACTTCTTTTGGCTTATTTTGGACTTCATCCATCGTCTGGTATGTAAAAGACAAAAGACCACGACGTTTCGGAGACTGGATCTGTCTTCGTCTTCACTGGAGGTGAGGTCCAGTGATTGAGACTAGCTCTTTCTAACGGGCCCAACTGAGCAGGTTTATCCTTCCCTACCCACCTGAAGACGGAGACAGATCCAGTCTCTNACAGATCCGGTCGTTTGCACTGCACAGCATCACGAAGGCGACGAAGGACCTCCTGATAGTATTTCTTTGTGATGGTTTAGCCTTGTGGTGCATACTCATGATGCACAACCGCACGGGAGTCTAAGAAAACGGCCAACATGACCTTGACATTGCTGCTGACCTGCCGTGCTTTTTTTGGCCTCAGGGATGTCGGATGTTTCCACTGTGATGACTGCATCTTGGTTTCCGGGTCATACCCATAAACCCACGACTCATCGCCTGTGATCACGGTGTTCAGAAAGTTGAGGTTACTGTTTGCATTGTCCAGCATGTCCTGTGCGATTTCCAGACGGCGTTGCTTCTGCTCCATTGTTAGCAGTTTCGGTACGAATTTCGCGGACACTCTCCTCATGCCCAAATCCTCGGTCAAAATTGAATGTACCGATCCAATGCTTACCCCTATCTCGTTCACAAGTTCTCGGACTGTGATATGACGGTCCTCCATGACCAAAGTCCGCACGTGCTCAATGACATTCTCATTTTGGCTTGTTGAGGGTCTGCCTGAATGCGGTTCGCTGTCCACTGATGTGCGGCCATCTTTGAAGCGGTTCTACCACTTCTTTTTCCGTGAGTTGCTCATGGCATCGTCTCCGAAAGCCTGTTGAATCTTGCGAATGGTTTCCACTTGGGTATTGCCAAGCTTTTGGCAAAATTTGATGCAGTATCGCTGCTCATGTTGTTCCGTCATTTTACACCTTACTGGAATCCGACGAGCACTCACTACATGTCCTCACTCATAGGCTGACTGCCAGCGACTGACGCTTTCTGCAGGCGGGAAAAAATTCACGACCGCACATGAATGTCCCCTCCAAATCTCCACTGAAGGGAGATTTACACAAGAAAGAAGAAGGTTCGATACTTTTTGAACACACCACGTACACATATAATGTCTGAAATGCACAACGTACACAATGTACACTGATTGACATGTTCAGAAGTTTACTGCACCACATACTAAGTCTTCTCAGGCTGCTGTGTCTTCACCAGTTATTGTTTGGTAACAGGTTCCAGTGCTGTAGGTACTTCATCTTCTGTGTTCATGTCTGTACTGACCTGTGACTCTCTCACAACTAACTAAACTCAAGATTGTCCTGCTTATAACACCTCAGCATGGCCCGCACAGAAAACACCTCTCCCAGTAGCTCCTCCAATGTTGCATCACACAGCTGTCACATGGACTGTGTGTGTTAGGAGTCTGTTGCAGCCATTACCTAGCAACTGCAATTGTTTACAGAGTCATTGCCTAGCAACGGATATACATGCTACAATATTCTTGTCATTTTTGAAGTTCTAGATGCACTAAAATAACAATGTTCATCACCAATAGGGTTGGTTCCTGTCCTATGGAAGTAATTTTTATAGAGTAATTTGGACTGTATTGATACTTCGGTGATCTCAAATTTCACATAAATTTGGTATTGTGCAATGAAGAGCAGATCTATAAAATATATTACAGTCTCCCATTTCGCTTCAGAAAGTGAATAGAGTTTACTCTATGAAGTTTGCTAACAAAAGGAAAGCCTATATGTTTTTAGTGTAAGATCAGCCAAGTGCCAAGGTCAGAGTTAAAGTATCATGGACTGCTCTGTGTAGCACATTTAGTGACCACGCAGTTTGACTCACCAGAAGTGCATTTGAATGGCATTCAGAGAGTAACCAGTCAGAATCATAGCCATGGTCCCAGCCATCCTCATGAAAGTGCTCGTGATTTTCATAATTCCTTGCAGGAAACTCCAGTGCTTGGAACAGGCACTTTTTCTTACTATATATTTTTAGTTTATGACTTTTCAACAACAACTATATGGGAATTTTTTCTCCCGCTTCAGTACTGTGTCACTAATATTTGATATTAATAAATGCAACATGGTGTCAGACACAAGCACTACAGAGATATATGTTCTGATTGACTTTTTACATGTTTCAGCCCATAATTGGAAAGTGGTTACCTGTTCCTCTGCCTATAGAACTCTTGACAGTGATTGCTGGAACACTGGTATCCATGTTCCTTAACCTCACTGTTAATCATAATGTTACTGTTGTAGGGGAAGTACCAACAGGGTAAGTACCATATGTAGTAATGTTGCGACCAAGTAAAGCAGTGCCTGCCATTCAGAAATGGAGGTGAGGATGGGTGTTAAGTTTGATAAAGAGTAGAACATCAGTGATGACACTTCATCAGCATCATGAATCTAATTCAGTAATATGGAACCACTCTTCTCAGAAATCAGAAGTCTGTTGTAACAATTTGGATGGGAACCATATAACTTAGAGTGCAAAAATTATGTTTTTGGACATTATCAGTTGTCCTGTCTTTATCTAAAAACACCGTCCTTTTATTTTTCAAAACACAGCGTTTTAGAAACTGGATTCTGTCTCCCACTTCAGGTACAATCTACTCAGTTGGGGCCAATCAATAGAACTAGTCCCTATCTCTGGACACCTGTGACAGCATCAAAGTGGGGTATACAAGCCAAACATAGCACAAACCATCTGTGAGAGCTAAGAAAACATTACATTATTAAATACTCTACATATACAAGGCCTTGCACCAGAGACTATCACAATAGAAATCGTCACTGGAGAGAAGTGGTACTCCTTATGGTGCCAATGCAAGGAAAACAAATTTTCCTACTCAGTCTTCACTTGATGGATTTGTAGTTCCTTGACTTCTGGTGTGATAATGAGGTTCCAGTTGGGAGAGATGTCGAAACTGGGTTGACTGATCAGATGGTCCAGTAGAGACATATGGGCTGATTCCTTCTATTTCCTGTATGTGGTGTAGGGCTCAATCTGCAAGACCTTCGCCTCATTCCAACATATTTTATGGGTTTCCTCATATGCATATATACCTTATGTACCACTCGGTGCTACAGCCCTGGGTGAGCCTTGGTATCCTCTACAACCAGTCTCCACAACCAATGCGTGCTGCCATAGGAATGGACCCACGCATGATGACCTGAGACTGGCTGTTAGGTTTCTGAACAAAATTCTTTTTACAGGATGAGGTTGTTGGCCTCATGCCTAACCCCCAACGTGGATGACCAGGGTATCTCTCTTAGTCTGGCCTCTACCCTTTGACCTTTCCAGCATGGGTTACCCTACTGGTAGTACTACCACCAACATAGCTCTGCAAGTCACAGTCACGCAAGCCCCACCACCATGACAAGGTGGAGACACCTTTGGGGGGGGCCATGTATAACTTACAGTTCCTTAAGCATTATGTAAAAACAATGGTGATCATGAACAAATTTGTTTTAGATGTTTTAGGCATCTCAAAGTTTTAAAGTGACTTGGAATGTTGTCTAATGTGCATTTCTCATTATCTGAGTGGTTCAGCACGTGTTATTCATATCGGTATCTACATCCTACATTATGATGTATATTATGAATATAAACCTTACATCTGAAGTGCTAGGAGAATTGTACATGAATCTTCAATCACAAAGGGGCACTCTTTGCTGAAATGGTTCACTTGAATTGGGTTAAATTTCACTGTTTAGTGAGTGATAATGTAGAGACCACACACTGTATCACAGAAAGTAAATATGCAGCATTCATGAGGTCTGGTTCCCTTGACATATACAAAAATATTAGTGAAATTTTGCTAGAAATTAAGGGCCTTACATCACACAGTTTGATTTGTTGTCTGAGGATGATTTTTCATGGATGTAAATGTATAATTTAATTAATTTGTAACAAAATTTAGGAGATCAGAAAGCTCTTTTTCATTATAATCATGAATATTGTAACTGAGAAGATTAAAATACAAAGTATTTTATTGTTACTTTGTGATCTTTAACTTTACAGTCATGTTACCATTTTTAAACATTACCACTATGTCTTGAGTTTACTTGTGCTTTTGTCAAGAAGTCTTTTATTTTCTTACATTTTGTATATTGCTCATTGTTCACAGGCCAGAGGATTTCCATGCCTAGATTATATTCTAATTCTGAGATGTATTGCTTTTCATAAGTTTTGTACATAAATGTTAACTAGTCCCTATGCTTAACTAATTAAGCACTGTGCCATGAAGACCTATGTGGGAGTGGATATAGAGGTTCACATTTTCTTGACATTGGCACTAGCTGCAGCCATTTTAAATTATTGTATTTCATTTTTTCAGACTACCAGAACCAGTTGCACCACCGTTTGCCTTGATACCCAAGTTATTAGTGGATGGGTTAGTCATAGCAATTGTTGCCTTTTCTGTAAATATGTCCATGGCTTCCATATTTGCTCGAAAACTGAATTACAGTGTTGATGCAAATCAAGAGCTGCTTGCATCCGTAAGTAATGTGCTTCCTTTTAATTGTGTAACTGCACCATGACAGAACCAATATTCGTTTGGGGAGTGTAACCACTCTACTGTCGCTTACTAGTTTAAGTATAATTAGAATGATCAGTAACAAAAAATAATTGCAGGTAACAAGTAATACCCAAGCCAGTGGGACATAGTCACATTCTTGTTTTCAGGAATGGACTTATCCCAAATGTTGATGTTACACAGAGGCACCCCCTGTGGCTTTTTCTGAGAAAAATTGTTCACGAGTAGCAGGCCACTCACTTGGCGACTGACTTGTGACTGCCTTGGTGACTGTTTGGCAACTGTCTTATGACTCTTGTGTCTGAAAACACTGAGGTATCCTGGCCGTCAGTTCCTCAGCCTAGTCACTCCCCCTTAATTCCACTGATTGGGTAATTTTGAAAACTAGGAGTTCACACAATTTCTAGATCTCCAATCAGCTAGCTGTAGTTTGCGACTTTGAACCTTAAAGTCCTAACGTCGTTTTTGACAGGACACTGACATATAACCTGCTTGGCGTTGGTTTCAAAACCGCCTAATTTTAACTTATGACGTGCAGGACCTGTCGGTGATCAAATTCTCAAAGTTTGCTGCTGTGCTACTTTCAAACAAAATTTCTCAGAAAAAGCCACAGGTGGTCCTTCCTGTGTAACATCAAGATTTGGAATAAGTCCATTCCTGAGAACAAGAATGTGACTATGTCCCCACTGGCTTGGGTATTACTTGTTAGCTGCAATTAATTTTTGTTACTGATCATTCTAATTATACTTAAACTACTGAGTGACAGTGGAGCAGTTACACTCCCCAAACAAATATTGGTTCTGTCATGGTGTTGTTACAATTGGTATTCAGCTCACAAACCTATAGAACTATTGCTGACAAAGTTATCACATATATATATATGAAAAAATTAAAACAGTCAATCATAAATAATTTTTTGTTGTTTGTTAAGTAATCATTAAATATGAAGAGAGTATTAGAATACAAACTCGTCATAAATCGTAACAAAGAATTCTTAATTTCTTTCTCCATTTGAACATCAGACCCCACCTTAAATGATGGATTATTTATTCCAATATAAGCTTCAGACATACCTCGTATTGTTTAAGAATTAGCTGTTTTTCTTTCATATCTCTTTCTTATCCATTTGTTTTAAACAGGTGTACAAGATATATTTTTTTTCAACATTTACAGAAATTCCATGGAATAATGAGCTAAGGTTCATGAACTATGTTTAAATGGTCATATCCTTATTGTCTTCACAACTTCATGTTTTCTACATTCCTGTCTACAGACATACTGTTATGATATCCATTAAGATTTGAGTTGTTGGAATTGGAAATGTAGAATCCTCTTAGGTGTTCAAGTATGCAACTTTGGTAAGATCCATCTGTATCTGAAATATAAAATAAGAATACAGTGAACCCATTAGATATATTTTACCTGATGAAGAGAAATGGTTGAACATTTGTGAAATTTCTAATGTGGGAGTTTGTATAAAACATTTTCTTGTATGTTGAAAGATTCCAGAATTGAGCCAATATGAAACTCTGAGATTATATTTTCAAAGAAAAAAGCATCATCAGTTTTGATGCTGGGTATCACCTTTCCTTGTTTCCTGACCACTACTGCATGATTATATATGTTACAGGGAGCTTCCAATATTCTTGGGTCATTCTTTTCATGCCTTCCATTTTCTGCATCATTATCAAGAAGTCTGATCCAGCAGACAGTGGGTGGGAAAACACAACTAGCCAGTGTGGTGTCGTGTCTTCTGTTACTGCTTGTTTTGCTGCTTATCGGACCGTTCTTTGAACCTCTTCCCAATGTAAGTTACATAACCAGAAGCATCAAGTTCTTACTTTAGTGTTGTATTTTAGCGTCCCGTTGCACTGATTTTCATCCATGATATGTATACTATGGCCGTCTTGTAGTGCACTCAGTTTCACCTGTTACCTCACGACATGTTTTGGCAACATAGTGCCATCATCAGGTGCCCTAATTATGCTAATCTGTTGCATTGCTTGCCATTATATGTCTTTATAAAATTATTTAAAAAGTGCGTATTTGTCAACTATAATAAATTTACACACACTAAAACTTGTTAAGATTATTCATCTTATATGTCTTAATTAAAACTTGCGTGTGGTTCTTCCACTATGGGGTCGTTTTTCTTATATTCTGTGTAAACCGTGTCTTGTGGTGTGTGTTCCCTTTTTAGCTGCGAGTGTTGTAATGTTATTATAGTTGATGAATACGCACTTTTTAAATACTTTTTAAATAATTTTATAAAGACATATAATGGCAAGCAATGCAATAGTTTAGCATAATTATGGCACCTGATGATGGCACTATGTTGCCGAAACATGTCATGAAGTAGCAGGTCAAATTAAGTGCACTACAAGACGGCCACTCTATACATATCTTACTTTAGTATTTATCTTTAAATTAATGCCCTTATTTTTATCCTACTTGTTTTGACAAATAAAAATAGGCTTATGAGATTACCACGCTTTCTGTAAGACTGTATATCCCTCCCATCAACTTTTGAATGCCTGAACCAGTCTTTGTGAAACTTGGTATGTATATAATGGCACCTGAGCCCATCTCAACAGCTTACTTCATTAATCTCTCCCATCAGTCTTTGTGTCTGTATGTGTATCCCCCTGTCATTGCTAGGAAACGGCTAGGTAAAAAATGTTACTGTGACAACAAATACACACACAACAATAGAAAACTGATGGATGCATCATATCCTATGCATTCCATGTCATATCAAAGGAAAGCTGATGATTAGTTCTTTCCAGAACTTCTTGTTTACTTATAATTCATGTTGATTATAAATATGGTTCATCAAAGGCTTCTTTGTTAGTATATTACACCTGATGAGAGAATCTCTGATCTCGGATGAAGATGTATTATAAAATGATTATGTTGGACAGTGTTCATTTCTTATTTAAATTTAAAAAATTACATGACATTGTGGAAGTTGTATCTGCTTCTGTCATCAGGTGTAAGAATGGGAAAGAATCCTATCATATCAGATGTGGGAGATAGAAATGATTGCAGGACGATGGATAACCTGATGAAAGCAGATCCAGCTTCTGAAACATGAAAAAAGAAGGTAAAGATGTCCCTGTGCTTAACTAATTAAGCACTATGCCATGAAAGTGTATGAGGGAGTGGATGTATAGATCCACATTTTCTTGACCTCGGCACTGGCTGGAGGTGAGTAGTCAGCTTTTTACACCCCAGCTGCTTTACTCCCTGGGAAAGAGCCCTTGGATAGGAGGTTTATTGAACCCCAGAGCGAGTCTGAAGAAAATTCTTGGCCTTATCGGTACTCAAACTTCGACCCCTTCATCGTCCAGCCTGTGGCCAGTTGCTGTACTGACTGTGCCATCTCTGAAATATTACATAATTTTTAAATTTAAATAAGAAAATAGACAATGACCAGCAGTAGTTTTCAAACTAATAACAGACTACTGTTGTGAACTTTTAGTGTACCATGAAAATGTATTAATTAAAAATTGTGCCTAATATCTTACTTTGTAAATTTGTAAGTGATTTCACAGACATCTGTACTTGTTTGCAGTCCGTATTGGCATCAATCGTGGTTGTGGCATTGAAAGGGATGTTCCTGCAAGTGAAAGATTTGCCAGTGGCCTGGAGGCAGTCCCCGTTTGATGGCATGATTTGGCTCACCACTTTTCTAGCTGTAGTTCTGCTTGATATTGACTATGGACTGGGACTGGGTGTGGCACTTTCTCTGGTCTGTGTGCTTATCATGGGGCAAAGACCTAAAGTATGTCTTCTTGGTCAAGTGCCAAATACTGAGATCTTCCTTGACATAAGTCGTTATCAAGCAGTAAGTGAAAGATTCTCATTACAACAGTACACCAGTAACCTTTAGTCAGAAGTCTCTGCCTTCCATCGTGTTTTTTTTTTATTGCTAGTGGGATGGGACTAAGTCCCTTGTACTGCAGCCACTTTTGGCCTATTGTACCAACCCCAGGTGATAGGTGAGGGTGATTGTGGAGCAATTGGTGGAATGAAGATTGGCAGGGGAAACTGAAGTACTCGGAGAAAACCTGCCCCAGCGCCACTTTGTCCACCACAAATCCCACTTGACCAGACCCGGGATCGAACCTGGGCTGCCACGGTGGGAAGCCAGCGACTAACCGCTTGAGCTATGGCGCGGCCTCTTCCTTCATGTTAGTAACACCTTTTGTGGTGTTAGGTGTGTTATCTACTGTGTCTTTTAGTGCGTACATTTTGAATGAATGTGAGAATGCATCTATACATTTAATTCAGGAATTAAATATATTTATTGCCCTTATGATGTTACATGTTGTTTACAGGCTTCAGAAATCCCAGGAATTCGGATAGTTCAAGTGGCTGGAGGTTTGCATTTTGCAAACAAAGACCATGTTCGGAGGAAAGTCAATCGGCTGGTTGGAGACATATCAGTAAAAGAAACTGTGGTAAGTTGAAAACAATATGAAGTGAGTAGGATGGTTATACTTCTCCTGATTATAATTTGATTGTGAGCTGGCAAGTTTTCTTACAGCCAGCAATGTTACAGAGTTTCATTAATTTATCATAACTTTGTCTCTATTTGACTGATTTATGACTTGGACAACATGATATTAAAAAAACACACACATTTTTTTTTCCTACAGTACTTGAATATTTGACCAAAGTATGCCAATGAATCTGGTGTGGGATGTTTGTACACACTACTAATACTTTTTGAGACACACCAACACATGAAAAGTGTCGAAATCTCATCTAGGTTGCCATCTAGTCTTGTTCTTCAGGCATACAACACATTATTTTGAAGTTTTCTATATTTCTGCCACAGATCTTCACTAGAAAATTATGGCTTGTCAGCCTTTATAACAAGTGACCCAGTTTTGCAGAGCATCTCTTCACTGCTCTTTCCTTTAATATTTTGGTCTCACTCTTCAACAGACATTTGTTCCTGCACAGTGCAATCTGTGGAAAAGTTCAGGTGAACTATACCAGTTGTCCATATTTGACAATAAACTTTATTCAGCAAGTAAGTCTCTTCAGTCTTGTTAATAACAACTTTAATGTTACCTACTGTGGCTTTTCCACATATATTTTGAATGAATGTGTGACTGAATCCATTTGTTATCTTGAAAAACTTTGTTTGATTTTACTGCAAACTTTGCCGTCTTTGATTTGTTATACTGAATGAAGGGCATTCTTCTACTACATCATAAATTCATCAGTGGTTGTATTTGTTGGTGGTTCATAAAAGGCATAGAATGTAGCAAAACCCTTCTGATTTGCTTATCGATGTGCTTGCAGTCGCTGTTTTTAAAAGTGTAACAGTGTATGAGTATACATTTGGATTCTTTAAAATTGATTTGTTCTAAGCTTTTATCATCAGTGTTCAGTGAAACAAAATTTAATATTGCAGGGCACAATAGTGAAGAACTCTGAAGCGTATGAGGAAGCAGAAATTACAAGGAAAGCAAATTGTGATTCTGCAGCACTAATGGTAGAAAATAATCAGGTACGTCTGTTGTGCTTGTTATAAGTCATGTGAAGAAACCTTTGTAAGTGTGATCAAATCATCATTCTGCATAGAAGAAAGTTTTGGCATGTTCTCTTTTTATTAGTTTTTAATTTTATTTACAATCACATCTTTCAATGAACCAAACATTCATCTGGTGTTTGAAAAATGTGGGGATAATATTTGATAAAAGTAATCTGTTTTACTTGATATCACATTTTCAACGCCTTTTCAGAACTTATTACCACAGTTAATGATTACTAATCATTCAACAACACATGTATGACAGAAAAGGAATATGAGATGAAGGTGGAGAAAGATAAAAGTATGAAAGTTTATATATTGCCACATGTTAGTTACTGGACATGGAGTTTGGTTTGATAATTAAGTTTGTTGAAGGCTTATAACTCATAACTCCAAGTAACTGTAACACTACTGCTAACCTATATACTCTACAAATCACTTCTGCAAACACTAGGTCTTGTCATTGTGCTTTGTCTTCACTGGTTGTTGCTTGGTGGTGTCTCGCAACAGTATCACACAAGACTGACGTTAAAGTCAAAGCCATGTTATGACCAATGGCCAGTCAACAGTCAGTCTTGGTGGCAAGCCCCATCTGGGGCCAGAGACCAGAATTTTGTTACTGTCAGGCAGTTATGGTTTTGTCAATGTGGGGTGCCCTCTGATGTGAGGATGTGTCTGTCATTTGCTATGGTTGTAGTCAGTAGTACATGGTTTTACATGTAACCCTAGTATACACAGTGTGTCCAGGATCCATTAGGACTCATTTTATTAAATTTTGCCCTGCAGTGCCATCTGTTGTGAGTTGTGGCATTAAGATTCTTGAAGTTTCCGCTGTGGCTGTCTGTAATTTCAAAGTGTAAGCATCGCTGCATCAGGTGTTCTGACCTTGAATATTAAAATACTGTTCTGATGCTTGTCGAAAAATGGCGGTTGAATAGAGAGGCAACATCAAATTTTGTTTGAAGCTGGGCAAAACAGCTGGAGAAGCATACAAAATGATTAAAAGTGTGTACATTAGTGATTGAGTTGCTCGATCACTTTTCATTGGTATACTGTATTTCATGATGGCAGGGAGGACATTGAAGATGCTCCACATGCATCAAAGCCGAGAACAAGTCGCACTGAAGAATATGTGAAAAAGTGACCGAAATCCTTGTATCAGACAGATGTGTTTCTGCAAGACTCATCGAGGAGCTTTTGTGAATACCAAAAGTACTGTGCATCAAGTATTGACCGAGGATTTGGGCAAATGGAAGGTCTGTGTGCAGTTTGTACCGCACGCGCTGTCAGACGATGAAAAACATGCCAGAGTGGAGCACTGCAAAGACATATTATGGTCGGCCCAAAGTGTTACAAAATTTACAAAATCGATTGTTACTAGTAACGAGATGTGGTGTTTTCAATATGAGCCTCTCACAAAGCGGCAGAGTGCAGCGTGGTTGAGCCCAAAGAAGCCGAAACCAAAGAAAGTGCGCATGCAAAAGAGTCGATTAAAGACACTGCTAATCATGTTCTTCGATTCCAAAGGAATCATTCACAAGGAATTTTTGCCAGAAGGTCAAACAGTAAATTCTGATTATTATCTTGGATTCCTCAATCATTTGTGGGCAAGAATTCTTCGAATTCAACCTGAATATCGAGAGCAAGGTTCCTGGTCGCTCGTCCACGACAATGCCCCACCCCACAAATCGAAGACCGTGAGCGATTTTTTGGTCAGAAAAGGGATCACAGTCCTTGATCATCCTCCATATTAGCCAGACTTGGCTCCAGCAGATTTCTGGTTGTTCCCAAAAGTTAAGTTGGCGATGAAAGGAGACCATCATGACACTGTCCAGGACATCCAAAGGGAATGTACAGCAGTTTTAAGTGCGATTCCACAAGAGGAGTACAGTGACTGTTTTTTAAAACTTTTCAATTGATTCCAGCTATGTAATGATTCAGAAGGAGACTATTTTGGATAAAAAGAGTTAAATTTTGAAAATAATTCATGTCTTGTGTTTTTAATCAACACAGTCCTAATAGAACCTGGACACACTGTGTATATGTATGTACAGTATACACAATGCCTCTTGTCAGTTTATGCTTGACACAGCAGATCATCCCCTAACTCATGTAGCTCATGTTACAACAGCTGCCTAGTTACTTGAATGGTCATATGCTTCACCGCTGCCAAGTTTAGGCTTCTTATATTTTCTCTGTTGGGCTTTGCCTTTTTTTTAACATTATGAACGTTTGCATTTTCTGTGTTGGGCTTTGCCTTTTTTTAACATCATGAACGTTTGGATTTTCATGATTTTGTATGACCTCTGCTTGTTGTCTGCACTATTTCATCATGTATTCATAAATATATGGTACTTGAAAAGCCATATGCAACTCCCAGACCAGTGTGCCCCTTGGAAATTTAGCCATGGAGCAGATATGCAGGGGCCAAAATTACTGAAGGTGGGTGTCTGCCGCAATTTCCTAGGCTGGACAAGCATTACAGTCGTTACTGATCTAGTTACTGCTTCGTGGAGGGTTAGTTTAATGCTGGCGCTTAATCACTCACTTCTGAATGGGGAATACACTCTAATAAATGTTCTGAAGGCGTTGGCTTTGATCATTTCTACATACGAGGGTAAGTCAGAAATTATCCGCACTTTCTCCATAACACAGCTTTAGGTTTGTCACACTGCCTCCTACGCGTGCATTCTTAGAGTTGGTACTACTGTGGTCACATGATCGAAGTTTTACCTTGATCGCATCATTTTCCTTGATGCTGTGACAGTGTAAACATGGCCGCTCTGCTAGCAGTGTGCACCACTGATTAACAAAGAATAGTGGTCCGATTTCTCTGATTGGAAGGGATGTGAGGGGCTGAAATTCATATGTGGGTTCATCACTATGAGCCAGAATCCAAAAGCCAGAGTATGGCGTGGAAACACCCAGGATCGCAAACGAAGATGAAATTCAAGACTCAATCTTTTGTGGGAAAGGTGATGCTAACCGTTTCTTCGGACTCAAAAAGGCCTATACTGGAAGACTACCTGGAAAAAGGGTGTACGATCAACAGTGCAAGATACAGTGATTTGCTGGCCAACAATCTGAAGCCAGCAATTCGCACCAAACGCAGAGACATATTGTCGAAGTAAGTGTTGTTGTTGCATGACAATGAACACTCACACAAGGACGGCCAGACCATTGAAGCCATTAACCATGTGTGTTTCGAGGTGCTGGAACACCCTGCCTACAGCCCAGATCTCGCCCTTTCCGACTATCATCACTTTGGATCGCTCAAAGGTGTTTTACGACGTTTTTGATTTTCTATGGACAAAGAAGTGGGGAAAGCGGTGCATAAATGGTTGTGCGAACAACTGGAAACCTTCTTCGTGGAGGGAATATGCAAGGTTTTGGACCACTGGACCAAGTGCATCGAAAAGGGAGGAGATTATGTAGAAAATGAAGTACTTGTTCAACCCCTACTTTTGTATATATGGATTGGAAAAACAAGAGTGCGGATAATTTTTGACTTACCTATGTATAATCTGTTACCGCTTGCCTCCCTTCAGGTTGTGAAGCGACTTCTTAACCAAGCCCTCTTTTGACCCCTGCGTTTGGCGCCACTCTATAGCTGCACTCTCACCTACCTTTTGTTAAATTCAATTATTATCTTCTCTCTTGTACTAAATTTTATCTCAGGGTTATTTGATTTATAAAGAGGTGAGGTTTGTTGGTTTGGTAGAGCTGAGGTTCTCTTGTCTCAGAGCCTTGAATGGGCCACAACTCGAAGAGGCAGGATGATCACAAACTACAAAGCACATACAAGTTTAGATGAATTATTATTATTAAACACTTGTTGAGCCACTTCTTAATAAAACTTCAAAATCAGTTACTTTTATGTCTTGTTTCTACATGATCCGGCATGTAACTTTTACGTCTGATTTCTTCAAGGGCTGGTGTGTGACTTTTACATCTGATTTCTACGAGGGCCGATGTGTAACTAACTTTGACAGCTGACTTCCTTTTGAACCATCAACTCCTTGTTTCATCAGCGTCTTGGCTCTGTCACTCCCTTCAATTTTAGTGATAGGTTACATTTGAAAAATAGGAGTATCTTAATTAGCTATTAATCCACTGTGTTTAAGGATTACTAGAAGTTTAGGTTTCTGAGCTCCAACGTACTTTCTGTCGGAATCTTGACAATTGTGAAGCTTGGCTTGGGTCATTAAAACTTCACTATTTTAAGTTATGGTATGCACAACTTGTCAAGTATCGAATTCACAAAAGACTTTGTAGTTACACTTTCACATAAAATTTCTAAGAATCCACGACGGGATGTCTTCCTATTCTCTGCACGTGTGAGGAGACGCTAACTCTTACATGCAAGGATAGACCTATGTCTCACTGCACTTGTTCATTGCATCCCTTTGTGAATAATTAAATTTCTAATTAATAAAACTGATTACATTTAGATGGTTGCATAGCAGTGGTTTGGTTAAAAATCTCTATCACTCAAGGCTCTGGAACAGTTCTTGTTATATAGCCTTGGCAAGGACCATGTAGAGAATACTGCATCCCACAGTCTTCTGTTGTTGTGTGTTGATTTGTTGTTGTGGAAACTTGTTTAGGTAGCAGCAGAGGGTTTTTCAGCTGTTATGTCACAATGTCGCAAATGAAGAGACATTTCCGTAAATTGTCAACAGGCATGTCAGGATATTGAAATGAATTCTGAGCACACACAGACCAGAGGTCCAATAACGTCCAAGCTGTTTGAATATTACTGGGACACCAGATTAAGACTGGAAATCTCCTGGTTGTTTCATTTCACTAGTTCTGTGTTTCTTTTAACATTTTCTGCTGTGTTATTAATTACATGTTCATAACTCATTTTCCTTAGCCATATATCCGCTCCATTTGTAATAAATTTTATACTTTTATTATTCACTTGACTGCGCATTAAATTGGTGTATATTGTAGCAAAACTCTTGTTGAAATTTCTGTTAATAATATTGAACTTGAACCATAAGACATTACAAATGCTGTAGCATAAAGTAAGAGGTTTCAAGTGCAGAACTCCAAGGTAGCATCAAACATGAACAAATTACTGAATGAATATGTGACTTAGATGTATTCAGACCTTTATATTTCCATTCTGCAGGTATCCTGCGTAATACTTGACATGATGTCAGTATGTTTTGTTGATCCATCTGCCATCAAGACACTTATTGCAATGTATAAAGACTTTAAGAGCAGAGGACTCCTCTTCTGCCTAGCTGATTGTTCAGGTAAGAGATAAATTCACATTATGTGTTTTCAGGTTTTCTTGGTGGAGAATGTTCTGTTATTGTTGTCCGGGTAGTAACAGTTTATAGTCTTGTAGGTTTGATAGCAACATTTCAGGGGATTATATGTGGTGTGTTCGAAGAGTTCAGAAATTTATCTATAAATCAGCAGTGCATGAGTCACATTTCATGTTGTTTCAGTGGCCTTGCAACCTGATCATTAGTTATGCAAGCCATTTTGTTCCAAGTAGATCAGACATTCCATTTAGTGTTTATAACATGAGGCCACGCCATAGCTCAAGTGGTTAGTCACTGGCTTCCCACTGCGGCGGCCCATGTTTCATCTCAGGTCTGGTCAAGTGGGATTTGTGGTGGACAAAGTGGCGCTGGGGTGGTTTTTCTCCAAGTACTTCGGTTTCCCCTGCCAATCTTCATTCCACCAAATTCTCCACCATCATAATCACCCAGGGCAGGCTACAATAGGCCAATCAGTGGCCGCCATGCCAAGTGGACCCAGTCAGACTCCACCCCCCACTAAGCGAATTTAAAAAAAAAATAATAATTTTTTAGTGTTTATAATCAGTTTTGTGACTGGGTGTGTTGTCTTGTAGTGTTTAGGAGCAAAGAATTTATATAAAAATCTGTTTCGAAGTAAAGAAAAAGCTGCAGAAACCCACAACAAGTTGCATGAAGCTTACAGCAACCATGCCTGCTTTGCCTCTTCTGTGAAAAAGTATGACATGTGTGCTCATGAGTGAAAGCAATGCTGCTTGTTTTTGTAATGATTGTGATGTGCATTATGAGTTCGCTCCTGAAAGTCAGACACTTAACTGAGAATTTTATCTGCTAGTTCTGGGAGGTCTAGATGAGGTGTGAAAAAAATGACCTGAAATGTGGCGGCTCCTCCATCACGAAAATGTACCTGCTCGCACAACATCGTCAGTTAGATAGTTCTTGGCAAAACATTTAGTTCCTACCCTTCCACAACCCCCCTAATCATCTGATCTCTCACCTCCTGACTTTTTCTATTCCCTAAATTAAAATTACCCTTAAAGGAAGAAGACTTCAGACAGTGGAAGACATGGTCTCAAAATCATCAGCCAGCACAGTCAGCCTTCAGATTCTTATCATACAGTGAAATTTTTGCAGGTGGCTACATTTCATTTTTTCATTTCATTTCATTTATTTACATGTCAAAAATCCTTTACAAGTTCGTAAGACTCAGGATATAGACAATAGTCCAATATAACAATTAAATATAATAATTACAAAAAATATAATACATGTTAAAATATTTATGTAAACATAATTTTAAAATTATAAAACTTGTAATTTAACTTTTCATTAAGTAAGTATTTAATCCCAATAAAATCAATTATCAATCTTCTTAAC